AGTATATGTATTATAACATCATATGAATATATTTATATATACATACACAAATATAAATTTTGTCTTAAATATATGATATATATAGTAATGGTACTTCATATGGCCCTTTACTATACACATAACATAAATAACACGACCTATATACTTTAAATTTATGTAAATGCACATGTACACACACACACTCACATATATATATATATATATATATATATATATATATATATATATTGTACATAATTTTAACACAGGTAATGGCTATATGATTTGGTAATGGTTATGTTAAGCATTTATACTGTGTCATGTTTGTAACAAAAGGGTAAAAATTGCCATTTCATTACAATTGTATTATTTTGATGAAGTTATAAACTGTGTTAGTGTTTTTAATGTAACGTTTTGGTTAATGTTATGTTTACTAACAGTGTATGCCCTACAACTACACTATGTTTTGAAGCATGACTGATGTGCTCTGATGATGCCTAAATCTATTTTTAGGCTTCACTTTATGTTGTCTTCTTAAGATTGATTTTTATAAAAACATTTGTAACCAAAAATTTTTAAGTTTTTGAACAAAAGTTAATAAAAACTTGGAAAAATTTGAGTTCAAAATATGCTTTCTTATATAAAGCGCTACAAAAGCATAAAAATTTATGACATCTGCCGATCAGTTGAGTTAACAAAAACAAAATAAAGATTATGACGGCCTGAAGACGGTAGGTTGCTTGTTTTTTTTTCTTGTAAGTTTCCATTTAATTTACCGCTTAACATTTTTTGTTCGCTTCTCGACTCAATTCATTTATTTATTTGCATTTATTAGAGTTTTAAATAATTTGCCAAGGTTTATACATTGCTTATTTTATTTAATTTTGCTTCAGGTTGGTTTATCCAGGTTTTTTAATTCAAGCAAGATGGCTTCTGCGTCTTACATTTTTTTTCAAAATATTTTTCAATTTTAAATAGCTGATATTTTTTTATTTGCAGAATTTTGTAATGTTATGGTTGTTGTACTAGCTTCAAATAAAATTAGTGACTGGGGAATCAAAAAAGAAGATTTAAATTTTGCAACAGGGGAGAGCAGAGGAGTGTCTTGTTTCTTTGGCAACATCCATCATCTTCAAGGCTTTTACCTGCCATCAGTGCAATACTTTCAACAAATTTTTGCCCTCTCATTTCGAATCTTCCATTTTGTTAAATTTTATCAGTTGGATTCAACAAATAGCTTAGCTATTTATTTCATTTGCACCAGTTGATAAATCAATTAGTAGTCAACTCAGCAACTAAGAAAAATCTATCTACCTAAGACTTCTTATTCCTCAAAATTATAAATGTGATATAGAGGTAGTGATGATAAAATGAAGAGAATGTAGGTGGAATCTTATTTGAGCACTTGCATCGTTTCATGGTTTTGCATGTGCAGAAAATCTCCAATCTGATCATCCGATGACATTCCTGTAGTCTACTTGGCCAGTAGTTTGGAGAAGTTGCAAATAAAGTGCTTTAAAATTTGTGTAGTCATCAAATAAGCTATCAGTTTATATAAAAAAAAGTTGTAATAACAGTTCTGAAGATATAACCAAACATCTTAAGTTCTTTTGCTCGGCAGCATTACCAAGAAAAAGTTTATTAATTTAATCAATGATGGCAAAAAAAGATGAAGAAGAGCTTCCTATATCAATCTTGCTTGAAGAAGATTTGAAGATTGAAAAGCCTCCAACAGCCATGAGGAAGAAGAAGCGCTTACGAGGGACATGCATCAAGTCATTCCCTGGTATGCATGTATATGAGTATATGTGTATGTACATGTATGCTCAGTTTCTTCTGTGTATGATTTGTTTCTTACATGTTAGTCTGCATTGTGGAATTTGTCCAACAAACTCTTTTTATTATATGGTGTACAAAATAATAATGTATTAAAACCAAATCGTTAATATGGAATATAACTCTAAATAACTCAAATGTTTATGCTTGTGTATAATATATAATAAACATCTCATCAGAGTAATTACTGATTTAAGATATACAAACTAGTGACTTGTTAATATCTCTTCCTATTTAATGAAATGTTATTACTTCACGTTTGTAATCACAACATGCTGCACCTATCCTCTTGTTCACCATGTACAGAAGTGTATGAGCCAACAGGTGAGATTTTGGGTACTGGCTCATTTGGGAGTGTGCAAACTTATAGAAGTATCAAGGACCATAAGGAGTTTGCTGTTAAGGTTGTATCATCTACCTTGTTTATCTTATTTTTAAATTTTTTCAAATTATTTTTAAATTCCATCATTTTTTTTTAATTTTAATTCATTTTTTGGAGTATTTTTTTAAAGAATAACTTTCAAAATTCAAGTAATAGTTTCTTTTTTGTTATTACTTTTATCTACTTTAACTGTAATATTCTGTAGGTTATATTACATTTGTTAAACTTCATATACAAGACTGAAAATTTGTGAAACTAGATTGTCGAAAAGAAATCATCGAAGACAAGGAAGAAAGTTTTGAAGGAGATAGAATTGTTTCACCATTGCAGAGGACATCCGAACATTCTTCAGATGATTGAGTACTTTGAGGAAGCAGATGTGTCAGGGGTGTAAGTTTATTATGGATTTATTATAGATTCACTCTACGTTTATTATTTATTTTTTTCGTCTTTTTTTAATAAGATGATTAACTGCTCTCAATTGTATGTGCCAAATGAACAAAATTCAGCAGCATCGTCAATTTATTTTATATGTACGCCGTACAGATTCTACCTGGTGTTTGAGAAGATGGAAGGGGGAACCCTGCTAAGTACCATTGGCAAGAGAGGTCACCTGACTGAACAAGAGGCAAGCCTGGTCATCAGGGATGTCGCCAACGCCATCTCACACCTACATAAGAAAGGTTTTAGTGGTTTTTTTAATGTTTTTCCTTCTTGCTATTTGTGATTTTTTTTATCGTTTTGATCATTTTAATTTTATTTTGTTATGCTTGCTACATCGTAAGAACAAAGTCTCTTCAACATGCACATTCACTATTACTTTGAAGTTATTGAGTTGGGTATTTGTGTGACGGTTGCAGAATTTCAGTGCAGAATATTACAATAAAGATGATGGTTGGATAGAAATGGATGATAAATTGATAAATGAAATCTGTCCAAACCTATTTAATACACTCAAATGGTACTGGTGCTTTCCCGCCAGGAATAGCTCATCGAGACTTGAAGCCGGAGAACATACTCTGTGCCCTGCCGAATCAGCTGACACCAGTCAAGTTATGTGACTTTGACCTTGGCAATGACATTCACATCAATAGCAAAAGGACCTCCCCCATCACCACGCCTGTTTTGCAGTCTCCGGTATGTGTTAGCTCTGCCTGCGTGTGTGCGCGCGTGTGTGATTTTTTTTTGTATGCAAGAGTGTAAATGTTACTATCAGTATCACTGTATTTGCGCTATATAAATCAACGCATTGTATGCTTTAGTGAATGATGATACATGGAAATTTATTAGAGTTTAAATTAAACCTACCTAGGACCAGACACTTTTAAACGTTTTGCTATTTTGAAATTGTTTCAATCCTTTTTCTCTTTATATCATTCATCTTAAGTTTTGTTTTCCCCACTTAGGTTGGCTCGGTGGAGTTCATGGCTCCGGAAGTTGTGGATGTGTGGCAGGATGTTGCCAACTCCTACAACAAGAGATGTGACTTGTGGAGTCTTGGAATTATCTTGTTCGTTTTTTTTCTCTGTACATTAATTTGTACGTCGGTATGTATGTTGTAATAGTTTGTTTAGTTTTACCCAGGTCGCATCAAATTTGTGTAGCACTTCGTGCGTCGGTCAATGGATTGTTCAAACATTTGTTATGATTTAGTGCTGTTATGTTTCAATTTCCACATCATCATATCACACCAGGTACATACTTCTGTGTGGTTATGTACCTTTCTATGCAAACTGTGGGGACAGTTGCGGGTGGGAGAACGGAGGAGCATGCACTGCCTGCCAGGTGGTTCTGTGGGTTGATTGGCTGGTTGACTGGTTCATTGATTGATCGATTCGCTGATTAATTGATTGATTGTTTGATTAATTGATTAATTAATTAATTAATTGATTGATTAATTGATTGATTAATTGATTGATAGGTCGAATGTAGATTGTACAGGTTGCTTAAATTGAGATACGTGTTAAAAATATGTTGATAAATACAAACAAATGGTTCATGTTTTTAGAAGTTTTTTTTGCGTGTATGCATTTATATTCTAATCATTGATTTAATAAGTAACTTACGCACACAATAACATCCCTTATTTCTCTTCCCCATTCCATTCCAGGATATCCTGTTTGACAACATCCAACTGGGCATCTACGACTTCCCTGAGAAGGAATGGTCCAGCATTTCAATGAGTGCCAAGGATCTGATCAGTCACCTTCTCGTCAGAAATCCAGCCGAGAGGTACAGTACAGAGGAGGTACTTCAGCATCCGTGGATCACTACAGATGGGGAGGAGCTCCCTCTTGCTACCCCTGATGTCCTTAAAAAGTTTGTGCCTCTTTTTTCTTTTTTAGTTAATTTGGTGATATGGTTTTGTCAGTTTGTTGTTTTTATACCTTGTGTGATGAGTTTTATAATGATGGATGGTATGCTAATATACCATATAGTTTAACTTTTAATCTTCGCAACAACAAACCTCCCTTAGGACAAACAGCGTTCGGGAACTGCAAGTATTCACTGAGAATGCCAACGCGGCGAACCGAAAAATTCAACAGGAACTCTCCAGGAGTGTTAGCAAATCTTCAGGACTGACTCTGCTGACTCATCCTGCCTGTAGAAAGTCAGGTAGGTTGGAAGACGATGAGAGAAGAAGGTCACTTAGTAGTCTGCATAATTTTGATCTTGATGACGACTCCGACATTGACTGTGGCTTAGTTATGAGTTCGCCCCCTCGGAACGCCATCACCATTCCACCTAGGAACAATACGTTTCAGGGAATCACCAGATCAGGGAAGAACCGTTCGAGATATGGCAACCACGAAGGTGGGTACGGCGATGGCCTGCAGATCGAGTCATTCTCTGATTCCGGTAAGGATTATCTTCCTTTAATGAATTTTTATTATTGATCGTTATTTTTACAAAACTTCGTGAAATAATTTTGATTTAACATTGTTAATGAATTACATTTGCGTGAATTATATTTTCACAGTCAAGGCAGAAACACCAAAGTTCTCACTGGCTTCGGAGCGAGTGCTGGGCGCAGGTGTGGATGGCGCGTATCACCAACAAGATGACGATGAGGAGGAGGGCGACCTTGATAGGAATAGGTTGTTATCAGGTGGAGGTGAGAGTATTGGTAATGATAGTGGCTTCTGTGGGGGGCCATATGACGTCACAAAGTTACTGACCAGTGATGAGTCTGTTAATGATTGGTGGAGGAAAAATTACTACCATAGTAGATTGTCATTTTAGTGTGGCTGGACGTGGTCTTGATGACGTAATCTATGGATGGTGGTGATAATGATGATGATGTGATCTGATGATGATGATGTTGGCGATGTTATATACATACTTCAGTAAGTGGTGTTGCTTGCAAGTCATTCGTTGTTCATTGCATCATAAATTGTTTCTACACTTTTGGCTGTAAAAAATTTTGTTAACAAAATTTTCATTATTTGAATGCTGGAGCCAATGAATTCGTTTAAAGTTATTAAATTATACGAGTTAGATTATTTATTTGGTAATTTGTTTACATTTTTTTCACATATTAAGCAGAGATGCTGAAGAGATGTTAAAGTAAACGAAGTTGTGTTTAGTTATGAAAGAGTTAATTAAATAAGTTATTAAACGGTAGTAGTCATTTGTTCATGCCTCTTATTTATTTATTTTATTTCTTTCTTTTTTTTATATTTTTTTAAACTAATTCTTTTATTTATTTAAAATTAACAAGGATATTTTAGACTTTCGTTCAAGTGTGTTTTATCTTTATCTTCTTACTACTTGATTTATACCTTCCTAACTTTAAGAAAAAAAAATTTAGCGTTAGACCAACTGATGTTATGGCCATTTTATCAACGTACCTTGGCGTTGAAATTGAATTTTATGCTGTTTTTAAAATCAAATTATCAAGTAGATATTTATTAATTTTAAATTGTACGATACGAAATATTGACTGTGTTAGCCGACCTCTTGGACTTAATTGAGAGGCGCTCTTCACGGATTGATCAGTCATGTAGTCTGTACTGTTGGTCTTTATACGGGCAAATTATTTGCTCGACATTAGTTAAAATGTCACTAATGATTTTGTAGTATTATTAATATATTCTTATTATTTATTTATTCAACTTTAATAGTGTGTTTTCAAAGCATCAATGACAGTCTCGAAGAAATATTTTTCAAATTCACTTTCATGCATTGCACGTATTTTTTCCTCCTTATTTTGTTGTCACACAAACTTGTACACTTATCAATCAATCAATCGATCGATAGATCATCATCAGTTGAATAGTTAAGAGTTAGTTATTTATGTATAATATTTGGCGCACCATAGTTTTTTTTAGTTTATAGCTTGTCTATCTCTATTATTAAATATTTAATTCAATGATCTAGTATTCAATAGGAATACAATTGTAAGACGCACACTCGCTTTACATATCTTAATATCTTTTGATTTAATGCAGTACCTGTGTTAGATAAGACGTCTACCATTTAAATAACTCAATACTTAGGCGTATAGTGTCAAGTTTCCTCAAATTTTTTATACGGTCGCAATTTTTACTGTCTAACCTAAGTTAGTATTATTAAGGAAGTTTTTCAATGAACCATGGCTTGAACGCACTGTATCGATATTACTCTATCCCCATTTTTAACCGTTGTTTTCATTGGTATTAAACGCATTTTAATGACTTTGTAATACTGTAGCGATGAATTTTTGATTGATGAAGATATTTAGTTGATCGTTTCTACGGCTCTGATATTATATCATTAGTAGACAATGTCCATTAAATATTTAAATTTTCTATTAAAAATTTTGCAGTACAAATTATTTTGTGCCTTTTAAATTGATCAATCACGATACTTCCTTTTCTATCTGTCCTCATTTAATACCTGACGTTTGCTGTTTGCATAGGTCTGGAAACTCGGTTTCCATATCTGTATAGCCGTCCGTCATTATTATGATGCACTATCATTACTACAAACCAACTATTTATATTTATATAATACTTCTTGGAAATTTGCGAGTTCCTCTTTGACGAATTGACTTGGAGTGCATTCATCAATTTTTCGTACTGTATTGTATTATTCGAGTATATATCTATGTGTGTACAAATTGCGAGCATACGCATGAGATGAGTGTACGTACGTGTGCAGTGTGCACATCAAATGCGTTCGTGTGAACATTTTTAGAAATGTAAAGTTGAATGGTAATGTAGACGATCCTTTTGAAAAGTTGATATTGCACGTAGGTTAAACTCATTTACACAGCAAACTTTATACATCATATGATATAATAGCTTCCTAAAGTAACAAACACATTGTTGCATTTTATGGAATGTTTTATATATTGGTGCTTTTACCGTGAGGCAATTTATCCTTACTGGTAGGTGTGTCATTTTTTCCAGATTTAAAACATTTACTTCAATTAAATGACATTCTATCACGTATAAATCAATTTAACAGTCATAAATTGCATGAATATTTACATAAAGTGACTATTAAATGATACAAACAGTTCTTGGCTTTTTTCGAATAGAAAATAGAAATAATTTTTTAAGAATAACTTCAAAAAAACTTTTTATTCATAAAAATGTATCTCAATATAAGATCAGTTTTCTTCACTGCTGTCATCATCTTCCTTTTCATTGTTCTCACTTTTAGCAAATCCAAATATGGAATTGGAAGTTTGATTGCCATTGCTTGGCTTGCCATATATAACACCTTTAACAAAGTGATAAAAATTTGATTTGCCTTCAAAAAATTTTTTAAAAATAAAAAAGATAATTATAAAATATTCTATTTTCAACATACTCAAGAAATGTCATCAGAGAGTACAATTTAACAACCTGATTTTGATAGATGGTTTTCTAAAACACCTGTAGTGAAGTCATCTGTGTTGCCCAAATCGTCAAACCCGATTAACCTAGTAATGTCATTTTTAAATGGTTAGCATTTTAAGTCATTTCTTGAATGTTCATAATGATGTTATCACATTATATAGATTGAACACAACTGGAACGTACCTGTCAACTACCACACCTTTCTTGAAGCACAAGACTGTAGGTAGGACATATACTTTTAATTTTGTGACAAAAAACTTGGCTTTTTCAGCATTTATTTTAATGAAACGACTTTCAAAATGTTTCTGTGCCAGGTTCTGCATAAAAAATGCATATTTTTTCTTAGATGTATACAACATGGAAACTAAATTGAGAAATTCACTTTTAAATGACCATCCATGATGGCACACCTCCTGAAATCTGGATGGAAGAAGTGAACTATGCATCTTTCTTCTGCTATTGTTGTATCCAAGAACTGTTTTTCTTCGAGTATTTCACTAAAAAATGATTGTTATATATATATATATTATATAAAAAATATGTAATACAATTTTAAAAATTGACGATTGATTTAGTAATTAGTTGGGCAAGAAAAACGAATTGATCGCCTTCTTCAGGCATGTTTCATGCAGTGTCATTTTAATTCAGGATTTTAGAGAAGCAACAGCATACTTGTAATCTCCATGCTGGCTTTGCTTCATCTCGTTAAGTCTCTCAGTTGCTTTCTTGAATTCGGCCATGCGAGCTTCTCTGATGTGTGCTGGAATGTTGAGATCATCGTCTTCTAATTCGTCTAACAGTTTCTAAAATTTGTAAAACAAAAAACAATTAAATAGTTATTAAAAAATCTTTGAAAAATGAATTATAAATACTTCTTCGGCCAGCAATTTGTCATCTAAGATCTCTACAGCTTCTGCGGAGGTCGTCGCCATGATTACTCAATGTTTTAATTAGGAACTTGGTTTCACTTTTAGGCTTATGATGCAGTCAATTTAGGAGTCGGGCTATTTAACACTCTTGGCTTACTTACAAAATTGCATGGGTTTTAAGTAACAAACTAATATTTTTAAAACAATAAAATTTAATCGAATTATGTAATTTGAAATGATTTTTAAATGAAAATATTGCTTTTTGTTTCGAAAACACGGTGGCTAACCTACCGCTCAACAAAACCATAGTTTGGCTTACTTACGAAATTTATTGTTTGATTGGTTAGTTAAATGATTGATTGATTGTATTGTTCGTTGATTTGATTCAGCGGTTGATTGATTGATTCATTTGTTGATTGACTGGCTAATTGAAAGTACCGTATCAAACATATCTTATTGAACTAAGTAGTATCATAATAAGATTAAAGATACTTTTTCAAAAATTTTGAAAATTCTCAATTTGATTTCATTGCGATATCGACGATGATGATTGTGACTGACTAATTATAAAACATCAAATAAAACTTATAAAATAGGATGGGTAATTCGTTGCGAAAGCATTGAAGGAAAGAACGTCACATTTACGGTAGTTACTTAACTGCATAGCCGGTATAAAGGTTTTATTCGATTCCTATCAAATAAATTTTACCAAAAATCATATGCCCGTACTGCACGTATATCCATGGTTAAAACCCATGCAATTTCCTAAGTAAGCCAAAAAGCCAACAATCCAAACAAAGTCAAATAGCCCGACTCGTCAACTTGTACAAAAAAAAACTCAATGAAAAAACTTTTTGAAAACTGTTTTCTATTAATTTTTTTGCTCATTTTTTAGCAGAAATTGTTTTTCAAATAATTATTTAGACTATATATATAGAATACATGTGTTACATCTTATGAATATAATACATCTTTATTTTTAAAATTTAACATACGTTCAAACATCAATCCATTCTAGATAGGGTCTTTTAGGTTCCATAATTTTTTGTTAGATTTGATCATCTAAGAACAAGATAAACTCGGATAAAATAGTTTTATATTACTTAAAGATGGCGAGAAATTTAGTAAAGTCTATGAACATGGATATTTGTGCAGACTGCGGCCAATCCGGTAAGTTAAATTTCGTAAACTTATCATTTTAAGTTTAATTCTTTGTTGGGCTGCTGTGTGATTTTTAAAAATTAAAGTTTCTTCAATCAACCAACCAAATTAAATTAATAGATCACTTCTCTGTTCTAAATCTATCAACTCTCATAGATGTCTGTTGGAATTTTTTAGTTTAATAATTCTTTCATTTAAAATATCAATTCATTCGTTTCATCTGTAGATCCTGGCTGGGTCTCTGTGAACAGAGGAGTGTTGATATGTGATGGTTGCTGTAGTGTTCATCTGAGTTTAGGCAGGCATGTTTCACAGATCAAATCTTTAAAAAAGGGCTCTTGGTGTCCATCACAGTTATCTGTTCGTTTTTATTTCATCCTATTTGCAGTGCTTCAATTTCTAAAATACTAAAATTTTTATAAACTAAAATACAGAAAAGTATTTCCATTCACAGACAAATTAACATTGACTTGATTCAATTATTTATTCTCTATTCTATTTTCTATTTCTGTTAGATGGTGCATCAGTTAATAAACAGTGGAGCAAACAATATATGGGAGTACACACTGGTTGATCCCACACAAAACAGGACTGCAAGGAAGAAACCAACTGCCAAAGATCCTATCCAGTTTTTAATTATTTTTCTTTCATTTTTTTTTTCTGAACGGTTTTATAGTTCTATTATTGTTTTGTTTTATTAATTTGTTTGTTATTTATTTGTTCATTCATTCATTCATCTATTAATGTTCAATCATTTATAACTGTTTATTCATTTGTCACCCCTGGTTTAAAGTCCAACAAAGGCAGACTACATAAGGGCCAAATATCAATTCCTAACATTTGTCAACAAGCCAAAAGAATCTGAAGGCATAAGCATAGATGACATAAGCAAAGTAGGCAAACCCATGTCAATTGTTGACATAAAAATTCCCTACAAATTTTTTCTAAAAATGTAAATGTTTAAAAGAAATTTTATATGATAAAATCTTTTTTAATTGTTTAATTTAAAATGTTAAATAATCTCAATGACATCAATCAATGATATTATTCTCATGCTATCACGTTGCATTACATCATGTAACAGCAATTACATTCAAGTGTAAGAACAAATAACTTGGAGACCTCACTAAGACTGCTGGCCTCTGGAGCTGATCCTAATTTCATTCATCCAGTTAGTGAATTTTTTCTTACTATCATAGGTATTTATTATTATTGTTATTATTACTACTACTACTACTACTAGTAGTAGTAGTAATAGTAGTAGCAGCAGCAGTAGTAGTAGTAGCAGTGGTAGTAGTAGTAGTAGTAGTAGTGATAGTATTCATGTTATTATTTGTAGTTTCTACAGTACCATTTCCCATAAAATGTTCTATTCTCAGTTTAATTATGGGACAAAATTTATTTCTATTTCAGAATTTATTCTCATTCTTATTGAGCATTTTAATACATTTTTTTACACTATTTCATGATCATTTAAATTTTAAAATTATTATTTAAACTGTCAAGATTATTCATTCACTTTTTAGGATTAATATTTTTTAGTACATTTTTTAATATTAAACAATTAATACTCACTAATTTAATAAGTACTGGTTCACTAATTAATTTCTGGGGTCATATTGAAATTAGGAAAAAGGGACGAGCGTGCTTCATGTGGCTGCCTACTCGAACCAACTGTCACAGGCCGAACTGCTCCTCATCTATGGTGCCGACCCAGCCGTTCTTGACAACCATGGCAAGACACCTCTGGATTTAGCTAGGTCAGTATTTTTTGTGACGATGATGATGATGGTGTGGATGGTATTGATGATGATGTGGATGGTCCTGATGATGTGGATTGTGTTGATGATGATGCGGATGGTGTTGATGATAATAGTTATGTTGATGATAATAATGATCATAATATGTTGATCATGATGATGGTGATAGCGATGATGGTGCCAAAAATGTTGATATGAGACAAGACACCACAGAAAATTGTTGCAACAACAAAAATAATAAGGATTCAGATGGTGACGTTTTCACCATTGCATTCACTCACGTCATCAATGTCAAACAAGCCTCACATCACCATAACATCACATAAGAGTGATGGTTCCATGACACTACATAATAACTGGCGACGTCTTAATGGGTTTCCATGAACACCTAACCACACACACAGATCCAATGGATTTCAAGATCTGGCAGACAGATTAGTTGAATGTCAGTATGAATTAACCGATGGTCTGGCATTTTATCTGTGCAAGAGAAAACCTGGTCTGTTGATGATGAGTTGATTAATTATTTGGTTAATTAACTTTTTTGCTTCTTCTTCTTTGTAAAATTTAAGAATTAAAAGTTAAAGTTGTTCCATTCAAATACTTTTAATCAGACCATAAAATGGGGCAGCATTTCATAAATCTGGAAGTATCAGATGGGTTAGTTTGTTGTGTGTGTGTGTGCGTACGTGCGTGCGTGTGCGCATGTGTGAATGATGTGTATTGGATAGTTAACCCTGTGAATGTATGTGTTTGTCTATTTATTATTTTGCTTGCATCTGTGCAGTACTTATTTCATTGTAGTTTAGATTGTAATTATAATGATTTATACTCACTCTCTCACTCTCTCTCTCTCTCTCTCTCTCTCTCTCTCTCTCTCTCTTTCTATCTCTTCCTCTCTCTTCCTTTCTCACTCTCTTTGTATTTGTACAATTGTGCTTATTTTTTGTGCCCTGGGAAAACGTTATTATTAACACAGCCAATTAAAAATAATGTAATCACCATTATTAATGAATATAACTTCCATTGACAGTTTAGAATCCTCTGAATTAGCCAAAGGAGCAAAGAAAAAGCTACAAGCTGTTAGCCATTTCAATTTGTATTCACTCAATTTAAATGATAACAATCATTATTTAATGTACTGTTTGGGTATAATTTTATTTTCACCTGAAACTAACTCGTGTTAAAAATTTGTTTAAAATGTTCTTTGTTTATCATTTGTTAATCTTCTAATCAAATCTTCTCTACCTGTGTCAATCGGTTATCCAATCATATTATTGGTTATGTCGAATTTATATGTCAAACATGAATACAATTACACAGCAACTTCTCACCAATGAAATAATTGGCCTTTTATTTATATCAACCAGCCATCCAGTTAAAACGTTTTTTTTAATTTTTTTTACGTCTAACTTCTATCCAATCAAATCACCTCAGTCTAACTGTTATCCAATCAAATCATTGCATTTTTGCTTCTGCTAAACAGCTGTCCAATCATTTGTTTGAAGAACTGGCAATGGATGTTTATGATGAAGTTGACAGGAGAGAAAATGTAGAGAGTTAGTGCTCTCTTAATCTGTTCTATACGTAACGTTTTATACGTTACTATTTTCATCGTTAATTTTTTAATTTATGTTAATTTATTCACAGTTTGGTTACAGTCTCAGCCACCCTCACCCAACACGGGGGTCAGTGAGAAACAAGTTGTCCCATTCCTACCCGCCAATCCGGAATTTTCCGCCACTAGGAATCAAGTTTGTTTCATTTTGTTTCTCTTCACTTGAGGTTTGCCGTTGTTGTTGTAATGTCGTAGCTGTTGTTGGTGTCATTGTGTTGTTAGTGTCATTGTGTTGTTGTTGTCGTTGTTGTTGTTATATGTTGCTGTTACTTTACCCTTTTTTGTACCACAGGGTCGACAAAAACTTGCCAAGTTCAACAAGCGGGAGTTTGCCACTTTGATTGTCGACATTTTGAACGATGCCAAACGTAGATACGTTGGTGTCCTTTCTCCTGTTGACGGGAAAAGTAGGGATGGACTGATTTTTATATATTTACAAATATTGTGTGTACATATACACCATATGCTCTGTGTTGAATGTGAAATAGTTACAGTTTGTTTATTTGTTTGTATTCTTTTTTTGATTAATGTTTTATGTTATTTGTATCATTATATTATTTCTAAGGTAAATGATGGAAATGCTCTTCGAAAACTCTTCGCTTTCAAGTTTACACCTTTTTTCTTACTTTCAGATGACAAGCAGCTGCTGAACATGACGTCTACATCCAACAACACCAGCAACGACATACAGAACAGCAACAAACAACAGCAGCAACCGTCATCAACAAAGCAGGGTGGTGGGGGTGGTGATCCCATCTACGACCAGGTCTACACAGAAGGGGATTATGCCATCATTGGGGAGGGTTTATGTGCACAGATCGAAAATATGTCCATGTCTAACTCTGCTTTTGATAAGGTCGGTAACTTTTGTCTGTATCAGGGCAATTTAATAATCATATTTTTGCTGTTTTGGTAAAAAAAACATTTTACACAATTTTTTTCAATCATTAGATTGAAGTTTCACTCTGAAGCGATAATAGCAGAATGAAAAAATTGTGCTCTAATACTAACACATGCAGGCCAACCAGTCATCCTCATCATCGAAGTCCAATTCATCATCAGACGAGGCGGCCATCTTGAAACGATCGCTGATCGAGTCACAACAACAATGTCAACAACTTGTTCACGAGCTTGAAAACTCTAGAGCCAGATATCGACAGTTGGAGGAGGAGGTCGTTGTCTTGAGAACTACTGTAAGTTCTTGCAGATGATGTGGTGTTCGATGGGGCTTTTGTTGCTATTCGTTGCCGGCAACAAATAACCATTTCAAACTTCTTCATTAACTTATTTTAAAGATTGAAAAACTTCGCCACGAGAATCAAGTCTACCGTTCTTTCGCCAACTCCGTCGAATCTCCGACAACAACTTCATCAGCGATGGCCATCGGCGGATCAAACGTTCACCAACAACAACAGCAACATCAGCAACAACTACATCAATTACAACAACATCCCAGGTGGACCTGCATGGAAAGATCTGAAGTACAAAGGCAGCTTAATTTTAAGGTGCTTGGCTACATGTGGTTTTTGTTGATTTGCTTTTTGTGGTCATTGACTTGTCATTTCTT